TACACTGTGTGCATGTGTGAGGGAAATGGAAAAATGAGACCATAAATTGTTATCAAACTAAGATTAATATATACTGCCTTTTTCAGTCAAGGACATTTCAAGCTACTCTGATGCAACAAGCGCAGGTTTTTGTTGTCTGTTTTAGATAATGTACTGTGAGGAAATAGATACCCAACAAATAACTACTTTGGCAAACGTTAATGCAATAAAGCATGAAGAGTGCATTGCGATTCACCTCACCTCTCCACTTTCAAAAGAATAATAATATAAATGGAATATGGACAAAATAATGCACCTCTAAAAGCTGAAACACGGAACATTTCGATAAAAAAATAATCACTCAAGCTTTTCTGGGTCTTATCAACCACCTTTGCTATCAAGGTTTTAATGATTTTGGACCCTGCAAAGCCACATAGCTAAGGAAGAGCAAACTCCTGTCTTTTCTCCTTCTGTAGCTAAATGGAAGCGATGCTTGTTGCTGGAGATGTCTATTGTGATCAGCAAAACAGAACCTGGACAACACGTATGACCCCAGTGCAATACAGAGGCAGGAAGCATCTCGCTTGTGTTACAGGATAAAACAGTGGAACCAGGTTTTTACATGGCAACCTCTCTTATACTAAAAACTAATCCAAAGGCTACAGAAATGAGGACATCTCAGCAGGCTTTGGATCAGGTCTTGAATGAGAACAGCTCTGCCTGGTCAACACATTCCTCCATCAGAGCTGGACAGGGTAGGAGCTGGTGTGCAGCAAAGTAACTCTATCAGCATCAAAAAGGGCACTGCAGCATTTTAATTCTCTGTCCAAACACCCTCCCTTTTTTTCCAGCTCACTTATGAGAAAGGAACAGCTGCTGAGGGAATTCCAAGTCTACTTTTAAGTGCTGCCCTCTCCACCATTTAACACCCATCCTTACTTAAGGCTCTCCAAAGTGTTTGCTCTACTGCTTGAAGCCCAACCACTTCACATGCCCTGCTTCAGGCCCTGAGCTGAAACCATGGAAAGAACAATTGTGAAATAACATTATCAAACATTCCTCTCAAAAGCTGTTGACTAAGTTCTCCCCAAAGCAGGCTTCAGCTGCTCCCTTGATGTTTCTTTGTGTTTACTGTTGCTACGATACAATCGCCGGATTCACCCTCCCGGGCCTCCAGCCTGCTTTACCTTATCAAGTTGGGACACAACCTCCCATAAGAGGGAATGCAAAACCGAGAGCTCTCTGCCCAGGTCGATGTAGCCCTCAAATCCGGGCATGTTTGAGATGGTATCTGGATTAGAGATCTCCAGAAGAAAACGCTTCATTCCTCCCCACTCGTGTTCCAAAAAGTCATTCATGAAGGCCATATACTCCTCCTTATTACCAAACCTGCAAGAAAGGGGAGGGGGGGAAACCCAGTCAGTAACCTCCACACAAAATACAGAGTACAGGTGCTTATGGACAATTACTTAAATGCTTAACTTTAGACCCGCCTTCTAAAGATGTGGTCTGAGTGGAAAAACAAAATGGACAATCTAAGAGATTTACTGCTTTCTTGGACTTATTTAAATAACAGTAATTCACTGGTTGTATTACGAACAAGGAGCCTGACATAATCTCTGCCTCTGTCCT